GGAGCGGAGCGAAGCCCGGCCGCAGCCCCGGGTCGGGGAGCGGGGGCGCGGGCGCCGGGAGCAGTTGCGGCGGCGGCGGAGGGGCGGCGGGCCAAGCCGGGCTCCAGACGGCCCCGCTGGCCACCTGGGGGAAGCTGGGAGGCGGGTGCGGGCCGGATCGCCCACTCCTGGTGTCGGGTGCCCAGGCAGGATGTACACGCTGCTGTCAGGCCTGTACAAGTACATGTTCCAGAAGGACGAGTACTGCATCCTGATCCTGGGCCTGGACAATGCCGGCAAGACGGTAGGTGCCTGTTCCTGCCAGCACCCGCTCCCCGCAGTGGTCGTTTTGGCTTTACACCTTTAGCTGCACGTTCTCCACCCAGACAGGACCTAAACCCCATATAAGGCCGTGAGACAGTTACCACCAGCTGCTGTAAAAGCAGAATGTTGTCCTGTTTTGCTTTGTTTTAAAGGAATAGCCCCAAGGAGGGATATTTGAGAAACAGTCTTGCAAAGTATTCCGGTTCCTGCCTCATGCCTCTCTCTCCTTCTCCCCTCAGACCTTCCTGGAGCAGTCAAAAACCCGGTTTAACAAGAACTACAAGGGGATGAGTCTGTCCAAAATCACCACCACCGTGGGTCTGAACAGTAAGGGAGGGTCTTGGGGCTGTGGGTTTGGGGGACAGGCCCCCGAGAGTGCTGTGATGCCTGCAGGCCAGCAGACAGGCGGCCAGAACCCTGTCTGTGACGCACTGCTCCGGCTCCCCTTGGCCCCAGTGTGGAGGGGTGCGGGAGTGGCCTGCTCCTCCCCAGGAGAGCTGGGAGGTGGCGTGCAGGGACCAGGGCCACAGCCTCACCTGTTTTTCTCTCTTCCCTAGTCGGCACTGTGGACGTGGGAAAGGCTCGCCTCATGTTCTGGGACTTAGGAGGGCAGGAGGAGCTGCAGTCTTTGTGGGACAAGGTAACTGGGGTGGATGCCCTGTGGGCTCCCAGCCCACCCCTTGCACCATTTCTCTCCAGGTAGCACCTGGGTTTCCTTCTCCCTTTCCTCAGACCTTGGACTTACCTTCTTTCCTTCCTGTCAGCAACTTCCGTCACCGACTTGGTTCCTGAGCCGCCTTTTCCCCTCCCCAGGGCTGTTCCAGCTCTTGAGTTGCTCCCCCAGGAGCGGGACACACTTGGTTCCTTTTGGCTTGGAAGTTCTGTTGCTGCTTAGCACGGGATGAGGCTAAAGGACAGCCAGGGAGCAGACATGCGGGAGACACACGCCTCCTTGGCGCTCAGCTTCAGCAGCGGGCCTGAGCCTCTCCCACTGGGTCCTCTTCCCTCAGTCCTGGCTTAGGACCTGTCCTTGTGGGTCGCCTCTTCCTCTCAGGGGAGGATGTCTTCCAAGGCCCACAGCAGCTGCCTCCTCTTTGGACATAGGCATTTCTGAGACCTCAGCATGGGGCTCTTCCCCACACACCCTAAGACTGGAGCCCGTCTTTAGCTCAGCCTGTGCCAGGCAGTGGGGTCCAGTAGTGAGAGAAGAGCCAGCCTCTTCCCCGCCCCTTCCCAGTGGGTTGCCTTGGTGGGTTTGGTGCAGCCCAGGGCCGGGGGCACGGATGTGCCCGCCCCAACACTTGTTGGGGCCCGGTGCACAGGCCCTGTTTTCTGGTTTGACCCCAGCAGCAGCACCCAGTCACTTTTTCCTCATTCCCCCCAAACTGTCCCCTCCTGCCCTGACTTTCGGTCACGAGAACAGGTTCTGTCCTGTGGCCAGTCACTGACAAGCTCTCTGTGGCCATTTAAGTCGGACCAAGGCAGAGCCAAGCCAGGGGCTGCTTGTTCAAGCCATATACCCAGGTGGGGAGGCACAGAGGTCCTGACATCCTGTCACAGGCCAGGGTCCCAGGAGCAGATACGGTGACAGAGACCAGGGTGTAGGATGTGTTGAGGTCAGCACCGGGAAGTGTGTGGGGAGGATGCGGGACTGGGCGGGCCGCGGTCATCTCAGGTGGCTGCCTCCTGTCAGGCCGAGCTGGCCGAGACTCCCATCCTCCGGGCAAGTCACCACGGTGGGCTGCCCTAAGCAGCTGTGGTGTGGAAAGGTGGTTCTTTGTGGGTCAGAGTGGGCCCTGCTAGGCAGCGAGGTAACAGGTGCCCGCTGCACTCAGGCTCTGCGTTGGGGATTGGCTCCTCCCAAGCTTGGTGCCTGGTCGAGTCCTCAGCTTTCACGTCTGTAGGTGGCATGACTTCATCTCAAGGAGCTAAGCCCTGGTCACTGAGCTCGCCTTCACTGGGGGTCCCTGGGTTTCTCATACGCTCCCCGGCCGTGGAGCGCAGTGGGTGCCCAGCCTCTTGCCAGTGGGGTCAGATACCTGTGCCAGGATGGAGGCTCCACTGGCCCCTGGGCGAGAGTTGCCTGACCTGCTCAGGAGTCAGCCAGGGTTTGCGACTTAGCAGGTCTCCTGTAGTGTCCCTGGTGAGTGGGTGTGATGGGGTGACCACACCCCAACCCCAATACTGCAGAGCCTAGAGCTGTAGGGACAGGCGGCAAGAGTCCCCTGTGAGTCCCCAGGAGGGGTGGAGAGGGGAGCTCCTGCTCCCTGCCTGGTTCCCAGATGCTGTGTCCTGAGGCCGTCCCTGGCCCCGCGCCATCCACCATGCCACCGTATGGGCCAGCTGAGTCGCTTTGTCCCAGGCAGACATGTGCTGGACCTTCACTCCCCGAGCCCACTTCCTTGCGTCCACCTCACAGCCTCATCCTGTGTGCTGCCACTTACGGGTCTGTGTGTGCGCCAGCCTCAGGCCACACCTGGGTGACCTCCAGCACATGCCCACCCAGAGGCCACGCCTGGGCTCATCTTTTTCCACCGGTTGTGTGGGACCCCGTGCAGCCTCAGGTGATGTCACCACTGGGGTCTGGGTGGAGCAGGTGCCGTGGGATTGGGGCAGCCCCTTGCGCTCCTGGTTCTGCTCACATCAGCCCCAGGTGTGTGGCTCCTGTCACTGCCGCCACAGCTGGGCTGTCACCTTATGTCCAGCGGTTGTGGCGGTGGATCCAACACCTGTCTGCCAGGGCCCCGTTGCGCACGGGTTGGTGTCCTCTGCCGCCCCCAGAGCCGCACGGTGATTCCCACGCTGTCCCTTCCTGCACCGAGGCCTCGGCTGTCGGGCTGCCACTCCCGGATCTCAGCAGCAAGGCCAGCCCGCGGCCCTCACATCACCCAGCAGGCTGGCCGGAGAACAGAAGCTTGTCTCATCCTGGAGTCGGGGTGCCCAACACAGTGTCGTGTCCTGTGGCGCATACGGGGTGTTCGGGTCCCAGGGCTCACAGTGGGCAGGGAGCCGGGGCAGAGCCGCAAGGATGCAGTTACATGCTCCACGAGACACGATGCAGCGCTCTTTTCTTTTTGTTGGGGGGGGAGATTAGGTTTATTTTTTTAATGGAGGTGCTGGGAATTGAACCCAGAACCTCGTGCATGCGAAGTGCGCTCTCTACCACTGAGCTATACTCTCCCCCACTCCGTGCTCTTTCCGATCAGGACAGAAGGCAGACTCCCTGTCCCTGTGCCCCTGCTCCATGCCACCCCCTGTAACTCTCCCCACAAGGTGGGCTCCGGTGGTTCTGGTGGGGTCCCCTCCGTCGCCCTTGCTGTCAGGAGGCCCAGCACCCCCCCACCCCCCAGACCCCGGCTCCAGTCCAGCCTGCAAGCCTCGGAGCTCGCTGATGCCGCCTCCTGTGCAGGGGACAGAGCTGCTTTGAATATCTAGCCTTGCCCCTCGATGGCCTCTCCCTGGCTCACCAGTGGATGCTGGTCAGGCTTGCCATCTGAGCAGGCACGAGGCCCTGTTCGTGTACTCCCCCGACCCCCGGGTCTGCATAGAGACTCCCTGGTCTGGGCCCCGTCAGGCCAGTGATTGTGAATGGTTGTCAGGAGCAGACACTGAAGTGGGCTTTGGCCACAGCACCTAGGAAGTGGGCGGGGGGGGGCCTCCCCAAGTCCAAGGGGTCTGGGGCCACGTCACCACTCTGCCTACCTCCCCACCCCCAGGAAGCACCCCAGCAGGGTCTTCCAGTCAGGGGCTGCCCCTGCCTGTGGCTCAGCACCTGCTTCTGCTCCTGCCCAGTACTACGCGGAGTGCCACGGCGTCATCTACGTCATCGACTCCACGGATGAGGAGAGACTGTCAGAGTCCAAGCACGCGTTTGGTGGGTGCGGTCAGCCAGGCAGTGGGGGAGTGGAGTGGTTGGGTCCAGGCTGCACATCCCACATGTTCAGAGCTGGGCGTAAGGGGAGGCTGGCCAGATGCAGGTCAGGAGAGCTGTGGCCGAGAGCACGTCTGTGCTGTAGACAGGTTGGCAGGGAGGTGGGGACCTCTGGGCAGAGGTGGACAGTGGGTGCTCACTGCCGCCTGTCTGCCCGCCCCAGAGAAGATGGTCACGAGTGAGGCACTGGACGGCGTCCCCATCCTCGTGCTGGCCAACAAGCAGGACGTTGAGGTGAGTGCCCCTGGAGGATGGGGGTCTGTTCAGGGAGGGCTGCTGTCTCCCTCAGACGCCCCAAGCCCGTCTGCCCCACGCCATCCATCCGCTGGAGATAGTCGCGCTCTGTCCGCCTTCAGTGGTGGACTCAGCTGCAAGCTCTGGGAAGGAAATGCCAGAGGACCCAGGGTGGGAGTCGGCACTGACCCTGAGCTGTCTGCTGCCCCTGAGATGGCAGCTGTGCCAGTGTCACCCCTGGGACCACTGGGCAGCTGGTTCCTGGGGCTCCTGTGGCGTGACAGCTGGGGTGCACCTCAGACCACGTGCATCTTGTCCACCCCTCATTTCCCTCAGACCCCTCCTAGGTGGAGTAGCCCCAGGGCCCCCACTGCTTCACACCCTTCTTCGGCCCCCATGTCCAGCCAGGCAGCTCTAGGCACTGCCCTGGGGCTGGGGTCTGGCTGCGGGGCCCTGCTTCTCACGGCTTTGCCTCCTCCAGACTTGCCTCTCCATCCCTGACATCAAGACTGCGTTCAGCGACTGCACCTCCAAGATCGGCAGGCGTGACTGCCTGACCCAGGCCTGCTCAGCCCTCACAGGGTGAGTGGGACCCTCACCCTGTGGGCTGGGGCCCAGGCCGGCCCTGTCTCATGCCCACTGTCTCCACAGCAAGGGGGTGCGCGAGGGCATCGAGTGGATGGTAAAGTGCGTCGTGCGGAATCTGCACCGGCCGCCGCGGCAGCGGGACATCACGTAAGGACGCCGGTGACCCCTGGTGCCCACCGTGCATCCCTGCGTGCTAGAGGAGTTCTGCTGGCTCTGCACTGCTGATCCTGGGGCTGGGTTTGCTGTGCCCTTTGGTTTTCATTTGCTTTGTTTCTTCTCTAAGACAAACTTCTCTCTGTGTCCAGATAAGTGTAGGCATCCAAGGGCTTCTCCCAGGGGGGCCGGGGCAGTAAGCCAGGCCAGTGCCACACAGGACCCTCACCCGACTCTCACTGGGGCCCGCGGCCACATCAGGCCTGGACACCACCAATGCCCCCCCCCCAAGGCCCAGGTTGCAGGCCCTGGGGTAAGGCCTTGGCAGGCCAACTCTCCTTTTGGAGCTGCTGCCCCAGCAGGCCAGCATGCCTGGTGCCCGGTGGGGCCTTATGGGACCCTGCTTGGAAATAGGGTTTTCCAGGGTGGTGGGGCCCTCTGTGGCTTGCAGGGTGGCTCTGGGTATCATGCCTGTGGAGGAAGCTGGTGGGGTCATGACTGTCCTCAGCCTCTTTCCCCTCTGATCCTGGCAGTGGGCTGGAGGCCTGGTGTTAACCTCAAGGGAGACCTGGCCCTCGTCCCTGCAAGCCAGTAGGGCTGTGGGTTGTGACGCAGCCTCAGGACGGGGCAGGGGAGATCTGCCTGGGAGGCAGTGTGCCCCTTACACTGGTCCAGCCACCTTGTTCTGATCCCCAGCCAGGAGGGGAAGCTATGTGGTCATGGTGGGAGTGGGTGCCCCCTCTGAGCCTGCCACCAGTCTAGGATGACTGTGGTCACCAGCTCGGGTGCGTTCCTAGCTGGGGGTGAGGGGTGGTGTGCCCCTCGGGTCTGGAGTAAGGCAGCTAGAAATCCCTTTCCAGGCCTATGCCCAGGAGCAGGGGCCCCCCCAGGTGAGGACCCTCCCCACAGCCCCCATGGGGGCTGGCAACACCCAGTGAGCCGAGCCATGGGCAAAATAAAGACAGCTGGAGTGGCTCCTGTCCATTGTTCCTCTGGAGACCTGGTAGCTTTGTCTCTGAAGGTCAGGCCCCCCAGACTGCTCTCCCTGGTGGGGCCTGGGAGTTGTTGAGGAAGGGACGAGTCAGGGCTAGGGGTGGAGGCCAGCTGCAGGTGGGATGACTCATGGGAAGGCTGTGACCCTGCCTCTCACTGGGGCCCTTCCTGGGGGTCAGGCAGGGGGCTCCAGGGCTGGTGGAGGGAGGGCTCCCAGAACAAGGGTAAGGCTGAGAGTCCCCCTGGGTGGGTGGGTCAAGCCGTTTTCTGAACCTGCCCCAGAGGGAAAAGCCTCATTTCCCAGAAAGCCAGTGGGACCCCTTGGCCTCCCAGGAGGCCTTGGCTGTCCCTTCCTAGGAAATCCCTGCTGTTTGAAGTGGGCAGAGTTCACGAGAGTGCCGGGCTGAGTGGGAGTTCTGGTGCCCAGGGCCTGCTGGCTGCTGCCCACTGCTCTGGGTTGCCATCTGTTCTGCAGTGGGAGCCCCTGGGCTTGGCCGCCCACCCTCCATAAGGCTCTGCCTGCTGAGCAGGCAATGGGGGATCGCAGAGCGGGCCTCAGGGACCCCACCGCGCCCCACAGCTGCCACCCACTGTCCATTGAAGTCTGTCAGATGGGGGTGGGGCCAGCCTGAGAGAGCTGGACACTCAGGTAGGCTGCCCAGTCTTTCCCCACCAGGTGTGCCCACTGTGGCCGGTCAGACGCCACACTCTGACAAATCCGCTTTATAAAAACTAAAGTGACCCAGGAACCAGGTCAGAAGCCTCCTTTGGTACGGCTGGGGGGCCCAGGCCGGGAGTGGATAAATGACGGGAGGGCGCTCAGGGCGCCTGGAGGAAGCGCCTGTGGATGCTGCGCTCCAGCCCGGGCAGCCTGGCCGGCGCTTCACGGAGCTCCGTGAGCTGCCGCCAGTCTCAGCCGCAGGGCCGTGCAGCCTGCCCTCGCCACTGGCGGCAGTGGCGTTGGCGGGCTCCGTGCCTAGGCTGGTCAGGACCTGCTGCAGCCACAGGAGCCTCTGGGCGGAGAGATCCTGGAAAGCCACGAAGTCGACAAGGGCCCGCTCGCACTCCCTGGTCCCTGTAGGAGGGTGTGGCGAGGTGGGGGCTCAGTCAGGTCCTCGCTAGGCTCTGTGGGCAGGGGGTGGTGAGGACAGAACAAAGGAGGAACGAACCCCTGTGGGCTAACAAGTGGGCGAGGCTTGAGCTGTGGTGGCGGGTCCACCGCAGCCGCGGAACTTCCGGCAGCAGGGAGGCGGGCTGGGGGCGGGGCTCGTGGGTCAACGCCAGGGACGAGATGGGACGCTAAGGGGCTCGGCCCCTTTCACCACCCTGACCTCGTGGAAGGCCTTTAAACCCTCTGAGCCTGTTTCCCGATGTCGGCGGGAAATGGCATCACCCACCAGCGCTAAAACCCTCTGCAAGGTGCCATTCCCCTGGGCCACCCCCACCGCCCCAGAGCTCTCCGAGGTTGGCTCCGTGGGGCTCTGGTGCCCTTTGAACCCACATGGCTTCTGGAAGCCCTTCCCGGGAGCCAGCCAAGGCCTCACGCTCCAGGGCTGGCCTCGGACCCAACAGCTGGGGCTCCACACCCCATTCCGGCTCACCCGGCGCCCCCAGCTTGCTGGAGCCGAGTGGGAAGCTCATGCAGTTGGTGCACAGGGACTCGTGGGAGGAGGAGTCCGGCACGTTGAAGGCTGGACCCAGGCTGTGCAGTTGCGGTGCAGCTGGCACTGCTCCAAGCTCGAGCTACTGGCTGAGAAAGTGCCCAGGGACACGGCTGGCACTGCGTGCTCTGGCTGCGGGTGCTTGAGGACGAGGACAGATTACGGGGTCAGGAGAGCCGGGGTCGTCCTCACTCAGCTGAGGTCTTGGCACGGCGGCCCCACGCACCCGCACCCAGCGGGGGCAGCCATGCCGACGCCGGGCAGGCAGGTTGTGTGCTCCAGGCAGAAGCTGCCGTGTGCGAAGAAGCCGGGGCGACAGTGGCAGGCGTGGTTATGGGTGGCCCTGCACGGCCACGCCGCCTCCCCACGCGCCATGCAGATGACGTTGCAGTAGTGGCAGCGCTCCCCGTAGTTCCAAAATTATGTTAGTGGCGGGGCGGGCACGCGCCGCACGTCGTGGGGCTGTCCCGGTCTTCAGGCTGCTGCTTGAAGGTGCCTGGGGGTCACTGGCTGCACACCAGCCACTCCCCTGCCTCCAGGTCCCGCCACGGGTAGGTGGGCGTGTCCCCTGCCGCCCCGTGGGCTGCGAGAGCCAGCGGCAGGGATGGCAGCGACCAAGGAGGGCCCCTCATGGTCTCGCTGGAGCAACGGGGGCCTCCAGGTCGTGTAAGGGCCGGCCTGGCTGCGCCTCCACGGGAGCCCCTCCCCTGCCCGCCAAGGGGAGACGTCAGCGACCAGGGGCCTAGGCTTTGACCCAGTTCTGGCCCCCGCCTCCCCAGAGCCCAGGGGAAGGGTGGTCCTGTGAGGGCCCCTAAGCACCATGGGCAGCTCATGGCCCCCTTCCCAGGCCTGGCAGTGGGAGGGTGGAAGGGGGGAGCAGCACCCCGCCTACGGACAAACTGGGACAAAGCCCCTGGAGACACCTGCCGCTGAAACCAGGTGGGAGGGAGACTGCCAAGACATCCATCCCATCCTTCCCGGCACCCTCAAACCCACCACCCTGCCTAGGCCACGCAGACCCCATCCCAGTAGTGCCAGCAGCTTTATTAGCCCTGCCCCTGACTAACAGCAGGTCCCTAGAAGGTCCCCCAAAGAGGAGGGGCAGGGCTCCCCTCCTTCCTCCTCTTTAGCTCAGCAGCAAAGCTCCTGGGGCTCCACCCACAAGCCAGCGGGGCAGCCTGGGAGGTTCTGAGGAAGCACCTTCTAGTGGACCCTCCCCAGAACGCAAGGTGGCTTCAAGGCTTCTCACCCGGGGCCCAGACCCTGGCTGGGGCCGTCTCTGGGGTCCCCACAGACACTGGACTGGCCTGTCAGGTGGGCTCTTGGCCAAGGGGTTTGTGCTGTCAAGCCTGGCCCACCCCTAGCCAACAGGCAAGTATCCAAGCTGTGCCCAAGGCAGGGGTAGCCGCAGCTTCTGCAGACCCTGCTGCGCCCAGAGGGTCTCCACGTTCACTGGGGCTCCAGCCAGAAGATCTGCTTGAGGCTCTGCTTTCTGGTGGCAGTGTGGCAGGCTGGGCACGTCCTAGAGACCTGTGGAGACATGACACTGGACACACCTGCCAGACACCAGTGCCCACCCCACCCCCTCAGCCCACCGCGTGGGGCAACGCCCAGCAGGCCATGTCCACGGGGGACAGGGCCAGGTCCTTGGGGTCTGGCTGCAGACCTGGAGGTGCCGTCGCCAGCAGGCCCGGCAGCAGTGGAAGTCGCAGGAGGAGCACTGGAAGGGGACCACGTCCTCCACCCTGCAGCCCGGACACGCCAAGCCCGCTGCAAGGGGGCCGACGTGAGCACCAACAGCCTGCTCTGGCCGGCCCTCTACTCCCAACACTCCCTGCACTGCCTCCCGCGAGACCTACCCCATTCAGACTGTGGCTGCCCGTGGTGGGGACTGGGGGGCTGGCTGGGAGCCCCCACATCCCCCACCGGCCTCTGTCTAAGGAAGGAGGAAATCTTGCTCTGGGTCTTCCCCGGTCTCTCTGGCTGCGAGGGGCCTGGAGATGGGAAGAAGTCTGAGGGGCGCCTGGCACTTCTCTGCTGCCCGCTACCCACCCTGCCAGGGCTGAGTGGTGCGGGGGGGGGGGGTACAGGGCAGCAGAGCCAGGCTGGCCACCTTACCTGGACTGGGAGCCCCATGGGCGAGGTCAGGAGGCACGGCAGGGCTCCCATCCTGGGGTCCTAGGGTCTCAGTGCCGGTGCCCAGGGCAGGCAGGCCGCTAAGGTCTGCACACATCTGCCGGAAGCGCGGCTTGTGATGCGGACGCACAAACATGCCGAACCCTGCAGGGAGCGCAGCTCAGGCCTGGCCCCACGCAACCCACCTACGCCGCCTGCCCGGCTGCCCACCCGCCCGGGCCACTTGCCATGCAGCAGGGGCAGGTCCTCAGTCTTCGCAGTGGTGAGGGCGGCCACCACAGCTGCCGCCTGCTCGAAGTCGTCGTCCCGCTTGTAGGCAGTCAGCGCTGCCAGGAGCTGGCTGTGGCCCGTGGCCCCCAGGGCCCTGCGGGCGTCAGCCAGGTAGGCGCTCACGGCAGGCGGGCTCTGCTGCTTTGTTCCAGAGGCTCCAGACCCATCCTGTGGACGGCTGCCGGGGTCTCCTGGTGGGAAGGCCACAGTTCTCGGTCCACTTGGCTTCCTGGGAACATGCGCTGGCCTCCCTTATTCTGAGGGCGCAGAGCTGGAGTGGTCCTTGGGAGCCTCCTCCCACCAGGAGTCAGTGCTGCTCAGGCTCTGGTCTGAAGCCTCTTCAGGGACCAGGTACCTGTAGAGGGCGGCTTGGAAGCCAGGTGGGGCCGGCCCTGGTTCAGGTGCTCGCTGGGGTCCAGCTGCCCAGCTGCATCCCGGGACAGGGTCAGCTTGGGGTCAGGCTCCCTCCTTCCTGAAGTAACGAGGAGACACCATGAGCCACACAATTGGCTCCTGAGGATCCTAAGTGTACCCTGGGGAGGGGGCAGGTCTGGTCTGTCCGAGGGGACACCAGGCCACACAACTCTCCACAGACTGCTGCAGGAGGACCCTGACTCCTGTCCCTGACGACTGGGGGGTGGGACAGGCAGGAGGATGCTCCGTGGGCACCAAGTCCCCAAGAGGGCCGAGGGGTGGCAATTCTGGGGGCCCCTGCCCAGTTGTGGCCTCTTCCTTAACAGGGGCAGCAGCTCCCAGGCTCTGGAAGTGCAGGGCCCGCACCAGGAAGAGACGCGGTGAATGACTCCCCAGGTGCAGGCCCTTCTGGGAGGTCTGGGCCCCAGCTGTGCATGCTCTGGGGCCCACACCTCCCCAAAGTGGTGTCACCCTGCCAGAACCCGCCAGCCTCAGGAACTGGGAAATGCGCCACGTGAGGACCCACCCCAAGAGCCAGGCATCACTCCACCCTCAGGGTCCAAGTTGGAGGGCCCCACTCACCGCTGGGGCCCAGGGCCAGCTGGGCCCCCAGTCTCCGGGGAAGGCCGCGCTCGGGCGGGTAGCTGCAGCCTTGGCCCGTCAGCTGGAGGCAGACCTCCTCGAACTGCCGCTTGTGATGGGGCCGCACGAACTGATAAAAGCC